GTGCTGCATTCACACTTTCCATGAGACTTTCAGGTGGTACTTCACATAGTCGTTGTAATCGGTTTCTAGGTTGCCCAGCTTTCATTCTCGCCATGATCTTAGCTTTCAGATCAGTTGCTGCCTCGCTCAGCATTTCATTCATTGGGGCTGGCCTCCCGTTCTCATCATCTGCATTCATTGGGGCTTGCCTCCCAATCTCTGGTATGACCTCCTCCTCTGATCTGGCAGCCTGGGGCCCTTTACCGTGGACCCTGCGTTGTACCTCGTCAATCTCAAGTTGTGACAGCAATTGCCGTTTGTGGATGTTGGAACACTGAGCTACTAGTTGTTTCGTGGTCAACCGTGACTGTGGGTTTCGAAGTAACCATTCAGCCCGCATTCTCTGCATGTAACCCCTCTGACTAGGGTTGCTTGAGTAGTAGCATTCCAACAGAGCCATGTTGTCGCATCTCGCCCATCTCCGCTTTGTTCCAGTAGCCCATTTTTCATCAAGACCCACACTGGATGGTGTTATGTGCTCATTTTTGTCCCAGGCGGGATTCGAACCACCGTCTCCCGTATGCCAAACCGATGCCTTACCTAAAAGCCTTCCATTTTCTTAAAAGCTCTCAGAGCGTCTTAAAATCTGATGCGCCTTGTGTATGGTTATTACGGTAATATGTCGACCCCAAAATGGCTCCTTGCTAGAGACATGCTTACAACGCAGAGTTCAAACTTAATTAAGGCGATCAGGTTACGCAGTTGAACACGGAAATAGAGCAGCGGCAAGAGAGTTCAATGTTAACGAGTCAATGTTATAACTTGCTGTTGGTTAAGTGAACTGTGTCGCTGCTTTATTAAACACGTTTTACTGACATTTGATGGTTCTGTAGCAAGGCCACGCAACAGCTAAGCTATCTTAGCTGTTGTCATTTGTTCAAAGCTTCTTTGATCTGTGACGTGGGTTGCGTCGCCGCTGATTGGTTGAACCACGTGAGTATGTGCTCACGCGCACAGCTGAGAGCAGCAGACTATGGACTGCTGAGGCACGCTTCACTCGAGTGGCGTTGCTACAGTTCTGTTGGCATTTCCTTGAGCTTTCCTACATCGAGTGGATGCATTGTAGATTGCGTCTTATAGTGCGGTGCATCCAATATATGAAAAAATTACAAAATAGGACATTCATTGAAGGTATGCCTCATAATCCAGTGCGCCTTTTAGTGTGGAAAATATGGTATATATTCATCAGTTTGAACCCTTAAATATCTTGAGGCCTATTTTGGTAGCGAGGTGCATGTACGCTCAGTGTGGGTGCATCTTCAGTTTGGTGCCGTGGCCAGTCTAGCCTGGCGTGGTAGGGACCACATTGCGCCTCACGAGGCATTCTGGTGAATGGAGCTGCGACACCCCCAACACACCTGATAGTTTGATAACAAAAAATAGACTGTCTGCCCACATAAAAACAGCATCTCCATTTTCGTGCCAGGGCAAGTCTAGTTGAGTGTGTTTATAAATCTAGTAGACACACTATGTCTCACTGGACATTCCAGGTAAAGCGTCTGCCCCACCCCTTGCCGCGTCACGCAATTTGGTGACAAAAAGTAGACACCATTTTAGATTACATGAAAGTAGGTCTGAATGGTACTGAGTGGGGTGTAATGGAATTTGGGTGTATTAATCGAGAGACAGATTTGGCATTCTGCAGACATGTGCGCGATGTATGTCAACTATTTCATTCATAAATGGGACAACAACCAGGGAAAATCTCATCACACCCCCTTGTGCACACAGCAAGGCTAGTGAGTGCTGGGTCCTGCACTGACACACGGTCATGGATGTAAGGCGGTCTCCAATTGCCCACATCACATGCGAGGCCAACGACATAATTTGCAAGGGTAGATCTTGCAGTTAACCTGCTAATGTCATGCATGAATCCCAGCGAGTCTATTTCTGTTCCGCACTTGTGCTCCGACTGCCCTGATTTGAATCCAAATGATGGATGCTACTACCATTGGCCCGGACTCAGCTGGGTTCCATCCCACAAGAGTGCAACTCCTCATTACGCCCAATTCTACCTATGCAAAAGGGTAGCAAAATACCAAAAAAAAAAAAGAAAAGTCTACCCATGTGCAGTTATAGACTACGCTTTGCGCAAGAGTTGCGCCGAGAACAAAACATAAGGCCCCTTGTCTATGTAGTGTATTCACTCAGTCAAATCTCCCGTGCCTGCGAGGGTTTTCTACAGACACTACAGTTTCCTCTCACATTCCAAAACACATGCATGGTAGGTTCATTGAACATTCAAAATTGTGTGATTGTGAGCAGTTGGTTGTTTCTCTGTCTGCCCTTCGATTGGGTGGCACCCAGTTCGGGGTGTGGCTGCCCGAAGACAGCTAGGATAGACTCCAGGATGCCCGCGACCTTTATGACGATAAGCGTATAATATAATGGATGGATAGATGTAGTCTGTTTATTTATGCCTTACACATCACCCCACCTTCACTGGAATTGAGGTTTGTACTCATTTTGTGGACTTACAGAGCATGAAATGGAACTTGTTTTTGAGAGTATAAACAGTTCATTAAAATCATGTTATTCCTCTCTCATTTTCTTTCTGTCTGGCTTTTCTATATGCTTCTGTGGCATCTCGGCTATCTGTCCCCAGCTAGAGGCGTTTTACTCAATCTTCACCACGGAGCAACAGGACCATGTTAAATCTGTGGAATATCTACGCAGCAACTTCAGACCCATTCAGAGCCTGGACAATCGCCATGTTTTTAAGTCAGCAGTGAAAGACGCTTGGCTGCCTGACCTGTCTCACAGCGGGAGTGGGCCTTATGGCACAGAATCTTCCAGAGGTAGGTGGAACTATAGTTTAAAGTTCAAACTGTCATGTTTTGCCGAATTGATTTACATGTGACGTAATTATGTTATCGACATAATCTTTGGTACCCTTCTCTGAAAGAAAAACAATACCCCCAATAAATCACTGCAATAACAAGCCACAAAGCTTTTAAATAATAGTACCTCGTACAGACCAGGCAATACTGAAGCTTTTAACAAGTTCCATGAGCTCCACGTTTACAGACTCAAAAATGAAGCATACAAAATAAAAGAACACAGTACACTGTGAAATAAGAGAGGCTTATTTATGTTCAAGGCCTGCATTGCTGTACAGGGTGTCTTCAACCTGTGCAGGATACATGCCGAGGTATTAAGGAGAGAAATGCACAGTCCAGCGTTAAAACCTTGGTTACAGTTGGAGGCACACATAAAAGTTCATTCATTCATGAATTTTCTGATCCGCTTTATCCTCACAAGGGTCGTGGGGGATGCTGGTGCCCATCCCAGCCATCTTCGTGCAGTAGGCGGGGGACACCCTGAACCGATTGCTAGCCAATCGCATGGCACACAGAGACGAACAACCATTCGCACTCACACTCACACCTACAGACAATTTGGAGTGTTCAGTCAGCCTGCCATGCATGTTTTTGGAATGTGGGAGGAAACCGGAGTACCCGGAGATTACCCTCGCAGGCCCGGGAGAACATGCAAACTCCACACAGGGAGGCCGCAGCTGGGATTGAACCAGGGTACCTCTGCACTGTGAGGTCGACGCGCTAACCACTGGACCACCGGGCCGCCCAGGCACACATAAACACAGCTAAAAAGAGCCAAGAATGACTCAAAACAAAACATTGGACTATTCTGACGTGACTTCCATGAGACATGATTGAACAGTGGTAAAATCAATTAATTCCTGTATCCACGATTAGCAACAAAATGTTATTGTGTCATTGATTTACTATAAATACCGTAAATAGCAAGCATTAGCTTTCCTAATATCTTAAAACTTAAGATTACCTACTAAACTATACATCGATTCAGCTTTGGACAAGCACATTGTGAAGAAAAATCTAAAATAGCTGGTGTTTGCTTTCACAATATCACAATTTAGAGTGTGTCATGGAGGAGTGCGGGTGGATCCAAGTGCAAGGAAGCAGGGATACAAGGGAATCTTAAAATATTTATTTCCCCCCGAAAAACAAAACCAAAAAAAGAAACAGAGCCTCATAACGTGAGCTACAAAGGGAATGAAAGTGAACAAAGAAAGATGGGGAAAAAGACTCACCACCACAGACGACAGGCAACAAGGGACACAGAACATTAGACAATGAACCAAGACAGTGAACAGAAAGCACTAATGGAATAGAAACTAATGTGACAATGACACATGCCTGGACAGGACACGAGAAGCAGGACTAATGAGACAAGGTGGAGACAATGACATGATGAAGAAATGGGGAAGGCACGAACAGGAGGCAAAAGAAAATACTACATCAACCAAAATATTAACAAAGTACAGATCAGAAATGAAAGGAAAAACCAATCATGCTGCAAAACACGGAACAAGAATCTTTGACAGCTGACTTGGCTATATGTTAATTTCCGTTCAAGTTTCTGCTGGTATTCTCCTTGAATGTCTGCTATAGTAACATTAACAACCAGAGGACTATATATGAAATGTTTTAATGCCAAAAAAATAACAGAAATCTCAGCACACAGGCTGGTGCAGCCTTATCAGGGAGATGTGGAAGAAGGTCCACTGTTCTCCAAAATGATCCCTGTTCTTACACTGTCTTAGCCACACCCGCACATGACAATAGGATATGCTAAAATGTCTTTTCATATGTGGGACTCCACGGTCTTCCTGGTTTCACTAAGTGTGCTGAAGAGTGCACATCATAGAAGACGCAGGGCCTTGACAAGAAAAAGGTCAGCGCAGTAAACAAATGTAACTCAAGTCACAATTTAATCAGTCCCGAGGAGGCCTAAATCTAAGAGTGATATGGATGAGCTGTATATATGTGTGGATATGGAACGTGAGACTGGCTGTTGGAGACATGCCAGTCTACTCATCAGGTAATGCAGAGGTCCCCTTGAGAAAGGCACTAAATCTCCTCCTAACCAAAACTCAGTTCAGTGGTTGCAGGTTGCAGCAATCTGTCTCGGTCTCCCTTGTTTTACTGTGTGTGAATTAGTTCTTGTTATAGTGTTTGGCATGCAAGAGATAGATGGATAAAGGTTCTAAGTCCATGTGAGAAATTAAGGAAGTATAGCCATTTCGGTTTTTATTAAATCTACCTTAAAACGTACCACTCCCTCACATTCAGGCAAGTAAGTGACCATGTCGTGATGAGACGACAAAAGAGCAAAATTTCAATGTCAACTCTGGATTGAAACTTGGTAGATTCAAAAAGAATGGAAACTATTCCCACAGGCCCTCATGCACATATTTGTTCTCATTCTTTATCTTTAATTGTTTGACTGTATTTCATATAATCCACAGACCAGGGGTAGGGAGCCATATCCTGCATGTTTTAGATCTCTTCCGACTCCAGCACACCTGAGTGTTCATGATTGTTTCAGGCCTCTACGGAGATTGCTGATGAAAAAAGATATTTAAGGGTTTAAAATGTCTCGATGATGAAAAGCCGAGTAGCCTCCTCCAACCAGTGCCCCCATTGCTGCACTGCTAACACCACTGCCAGTCGCTCCCAATTCCTCATGTCATAGTTTCGTTTCGATACTGTGAGGTGCTGGGAGAAGAAAATGTAGGGGCGAAGCTTCTCGCATGCAGGCAGGCGTTGGGAGAGGACAGCCCTGACCCCAGAGTTCGACGCATCGAGCTCAACCACAAACAGCTGCTCAAGATGAATTAGTACAGGAGCGTTCTTAAACATACTCTTCAAATGCTCGAAACCAGAGCTTTCTGCCTCTGACCAAGCGACAGGAGCTTCCTCTCGATCACATGACCAAGGAAAGTCATATTTTTCAGTGTTAACAAAGGTATTCAAATGGATCCAGACGCATATTGAACGCCGTCTTCCACTCATCCCCCTCATGCAATCTGTGCAGATGGGAAGCATATCTCAAGTTTATCTTTGCTTCCTGCAGGGGAATGAAAGCAGAGTCTATTAGTGGAACAGGGTACTTATTTTAAGTTATTTCATTCAATCCTGTGTAGTCTATGCATGGGCATAGAGAACCGTCCTTCTCAACAAAAGAAAAAGCCAACCCCCACCAAAGAGGAGGGGGATCGAATCAGCCCAGCTGCCACCTGGGTGGAACTGCTGACAATGAGCGTGACGTGTCCTCCAGCTCTGGGAGGTGGATGTTGCCCAGTCAAGGTGGGGATTGTGTCATTTAAGCCATGGAATGCCCCAAATCACAGGAATACATGGTGAAGTTATCACAAACAGTTCAAACCACTCATGATGATTACTGGAGACAATTAGATTGAGAGGTTCAGTCTTGTATGTGACTGTCTCTAATCATGTTCCATCACTCGCTTGTATTTCCTCTGGTGTGGATATCTCGTAGAGGGAGATATTTGTTTTGACAAAGTCTTTGTCTATGAAATTGTCATCTGTGCCAACAAAGACCTGGACCCGGAATGTTGAGGAGCATCAATCATACCTGTCACCTGCATTCAAGAAGAGGAAGATGTGAAGATCCTGCTCATTTTTTTTTTTTCTGGTTTCTGATGAGCTTCAGATAGAGTTTGAGGAAGTGTCCTTTTCTGCCACAGTAAAGGAGAAGCTTTTGCTCCATTCGTTGCTGTCACTCAGTTGGGATCAGACATGTCCTTCCTAACTGCATGGGCTCATCCACCGGAGGTTGGTGTAATTCTGGGTACCGCTCGCGAGGGTTGTGGTTGGTGCTGGGTTCAGAATGTAGCAAATCCAGAGCGGTGAATTGATTCATAGTGAATAACTTTGGACTGTTGTTCTCTAACTTGTCCCTGTTTCTCTCTCTCTCTCTAATAGATTACCTAAATCTATGCTATCGTTTGGGGAAGGGCTGCCCTCTCGCAGTGCTAGCCGAGAGCGAATTTTAGAAAAGCTTTAGCTTTTTGATCGATGAGTAGCTTTTGCGAGGTTGTTGATTGGAAACTAAGGTACAAAAGAAACTGAGCACATGATTCTAAATATTTGGAATACCTGGCAGGAATTTCGGCGAATGGCTTTTAGGGTTGGGGTGCTGGACTAGCGGTCGGGATGGTCGGTGGGTGGTGGTAGGAGGAACCTGCTGGTGTAATTTATTGGACCGCCCAATTGCACCATACTTGCTGTGAGCTGTTTTATGTGATCCATGATCTGGAGCAACGAGGACCTGAGCTGCCTGGCCAGAAAGTGTTGGTTTAAGAATCATATTCTGCAGGGTCCATTCTGGCAAGAGAATTATGTTACGTTATGATCAAAGAATACGGCCGCAAGTGCAGAATAATTAACAAAAGTTTATTTCAGCCCAAAAAAACAACAATGAAAACGAAATCTTGCAAAAAAAAAAAAAAAAGGCAAAAACACAAAATCACCACAAGAGGGGAACAAAAAAAACCTCACTACAGTTTCAATTGGAAACAGGAGGCTAGAGAACAACTGGAAAGCAGAGACACATGTGGAGTGGGATGTTTAGACAAAATCATGTTTGGAGCAGGCTGAAGAAGCCAGCTGATTGCCGGCAGGTTTGCCTTAACAAGCGCTGCTCACCAGCTGCTCGACGCCGCCTTCCCACAATGCCCTGGCTGAAAGAGAGAGATGGAATGTGGTAAGAGTCGAGAACACTCAAGACAAAAGAAAAAAAAATCACAACCTTAACATTGTATTTGATACCAAAATTACCTAATTTCACAGAGGCATGGTTACTACAACTAACCAACCACCTGTTTAAGGTTTTAATTGAGCTGTCATTTTGTAAAATGCAGTTGGCCACATGAAGAAAATAAGAATATTCCCTGGGTTCTACACTCATTTTTGCATTCTACTTCAATACATAGCAACATACATAATTAGCT